TACTCACCGGTGCAGCAAGATGGCGGAAAAAGGAAGAGGCTGGGCGTAGGCAGGGGCTTATGGGAATTCTGGTCGGCAGGCGCTCGCTGAGGAGGCTCTCGGAGATCTCGCGAGGTGCGTCTTCGCAGTCGGAGAGACGCGGGAACAGGTTTTCCCTCCTGTGACTGGCCGCGAGCGACAGCCGCCTCGGGGCAGTTCCGGGAAGTAAGCCGCGCGTGCCGCCTGGTAGCTATAGCAACCCAGACGCTTCCGGGAAGCGGCGCCGCGATGACAAGTGCAGAGGAGCGAATTTAGCGTCCGTCGCGCTCGCGGCTAGAAGGGGCCCGGCCGCCGCGGGGAGCGGCGTACCACCCACCCTTCCTACGCCCCGGGAGGAGGCTCAACACTTCACCTGGAAATGCGACTCGCGGGAGGCAGGCGGTGCCCGGGGCCGGCTGCGTGGCGGGATGATTTCCGTCCGCGAGGTGGTCCTCGACTCACCTTTAGTTTCCCCACCCCCCTTTCCCTGCTTGACCTCTTGTTTTCCTAATTTCTCAGTTCATTCACTCCTTGTCGCTGCCCTTCTCGCCATCTCCAGGTCCAGTCGCGGCACTGGCCTCTTCTTCCTCGCCCCCGTCCACTTCCCTGCCCGCGGAGGTTTTGAACAGCCTGTGTCAAGCGTCTCTTTTCTTTTCCAGGTGGAGTTGGCTGCGTCTCTCCTGCTACTGCCAGTAGTAGGCCTGGAGTTTGCTCTCAAAAATTTTAATGCAGTATGTGGATAGTAGAAAGAGGCTCATAACAATTAAAGCTTTAAATGTATAGAAATATAGTTGATTAAAAAATGTTTTCCTAATTTCTATCCATTTACATTCTCACTGACATCATGTTGTACTTATTTAGCACAGCTCATGCCTTGGAGTCTTAGACCAACAGAGACTCTTTGTGCCTGAAGAAGGGTGATTGCATCGGAAAGCTTACAAAGAACTTTGTTCCAAGTACTCAGTTGGTCTAATGAAAGAACCTTGCCTACCTGTATCCTTAGACCAACACGGCTACACCCAGAAACCCAGTAACTCTGGCCCAGATATATAGCGGGTCCTAGAAAACAGCATTTCTCACCCATGGGTTGTGGCCCAAAGGGGCTCCTAACAACATATGAAAGGGTTGTGAACAAGCTTTAGAAATGGATTCTCCCTTAAAGGAAAAAAACATGGAAAATGGGGGCTTTTCCCTTGCAGAGTTCCAGCAAGAGGGGCCACCCAGCTCCACCCACCTCATCCTGCCCCTCCTGCTGTGAAGCTAGGGTCTAGGGCTAGGGCCACTACATGAGACTGGCCCCTGACGTTTGCAAATGGGTCCTGGTACAAAGTTGAGAACTACTGTCATAAAAGGTCTCACCATGGGAAATCCTTGCCTCTCACATTATTTCTGGACCTTCAGCGCTACATCCTTCTTATACTAAAGAAATCTTAGCATGAAAGGGAAATTCCAGAAAAGGGGACAAGAATTTAAATAGTGCCAATGTAAAACAAAAAAAGGGGGGGGGGGGGGGGGGGGGAGTAAATGGGTTGATCCAGGCAGTGGAAAGTGACTTGGCCCGATATCAATGCTGGATAAAAGAATGGAAAAGCTAGTTAAGGATCACCTGGATGAAGATTTAAAGAATGGGAATAAAGTGGACATCAATCCCCAATGCTGGAGGAAAACAGCTTTTTGAAAACTTTAAAATTCACCAAGTACATAAAAGTAATATGCTCAGACTCTCAGGTGTTCAACTTAGCACCACAGGAAATTCAGATTGAAGCCTTTCACTATATAGTAGTAGTAAAATACATAAATTAAAAATTAGCCAACACAATGGGAGTGAACATTTTTGTGAAAAAAAAAAAATCTGTAAGTACATGAAATCACTGTTGATAGAAATTACAGATTAGGAACAGCTGAGCACAGCTGTAATTAATAAGGATCATGGTTTTGTCTGTTTAAAAATTACAAATTCTCCTATTAAAATGCTCAAAGTTCCATTTTTCCATGATTAAAATGAAATGCCACTATATATTCAAGCATCAGTTGAACACATTTTATTGATATGTTTACAACTTTAAAGCAAATTGGAAGCCTACCAGTGCCTTAAATCACTATAATAAATTCTAAATACCTATAAGTTTTGCCATATGATTTGGGGGGGTTTATTATGGAAAAATCAGAGTTCATGGAAAATCAGGGCTGCATAGGTACCCCTTAGCTACCCAGCAGTAGTGAGGGGCACAACTGTGACACCATTCCCACTGCAGCCAGGCAAGCAGGGGACACTGTCACAGCAGCACAGGGCTTGCAGCAGCAGCACTAAGCCTCCCCATCCTGCTCTGCCCTGCCACATCAGTCCCTGCCTGCCCCCCTGCCTCCAAATGAGCTGCCCATGGCTCCACCCCTTGCCTAACTCCCTCCCAATGGGGGCCTCAATTTCCCACCCCACCCTTCTCCCCCACACAGGACTTCCGTGGGAGCTGCTCTCCAGGCTACCTGCCACATGTGTATGTACACATGTGACATCACCTGCCTGACCTCCCTTCTCTAACTTCTCCAGCCTGCAAGGGGAAACCCAGCATTTCCCAGTTTTCTCCTTTAAAAAGGAGAAAATACAGGTTTTGCCTCCTCAAAATGAGAACATTTGGGTTTTGCTCCTTAAAAATTAGAAAAATCTGGGTTTTACCAGGTTTTTCCGTGGCAAATAGAAAAGCTAGATCACTGGTAATTAACAAATCAAAACAAGACAGTCAAATATTACTCTGGATCACATAGTAGTAGCCAACCAAAAGCCATTTTAATATAGCCAAATGCAAAATTATACATTAAGGATCAGAGAATGCAAGATGGGGCACTATCCTGAAAAGCAGCAACTCTGAATGGTTTAAAAGTTACTAACATACGCTTTCAGTACTATGTTATGGTCAGAAGAGCTAATGTGATTCTTAGCTAGATGAACAACAGCGTACTGAACTGAGGTAAGTGTGAGCAACACTGGGAAAAGATACTAGAATACGCTGCC